TTTCATTCGATTCTAAAATAAAGATTTAATTTTAATAATATAAAAAAATAATATAAAAATTACTTGAATTTCTTGTTCATTTTTTTTACGTCCTTTTTCTGATTAAACCATTTGATGGCCACGTTTTAATCCTTGTTGTATGTCATCACTTGTTGATATTTTTTCATCATAATGACTATTAGCCATTATTCGAAAATATCTCAAAGAAAAAACGACGTTTTGCAAGATTTTGTTTGTTTGTATGTATGTATATCTAAAATGGAATGAGATAAATATATATAGATCACAATAATGGATAGAAATCAATAGGATAACTGTTACAGGTGCTCTGGATGTTCTTCTCGTTCATCTTTTTTTTTCTGTTCGAGACATGATATACAGCCATATTCCCATATTACTTGTTTAATCATATTTAAATTTTTATCATACAAACATAAATTTGATTGTTGATTAATTAAGAAATATGTAGAATTATTTGCCATAACAAGAGAATCATCTGTTATTATTTTTTTTGTTAAAAACAATGATTTTATTGTTGCATGTAAATTAAAAGTAGAACGTCGTTTTTCTATTTGAATAAAATTGTCATTAAGAATTAATGGTGGAATATTTAATTGAAAATCTTCTGTTGGTATTTGTTCAATTTCACGTTTTACAGCATTTGTTGCAGCTTTTAATGAATCAATTTGTTCTTGAGTTGTATCTTGTTCACGTATAAGTTGATTAATTTTCAATTTAATCCATTCAATAACTTGACGATTTTGATTTAATGTTTCATTTTGAATAGTTTTATTATCTAATTCTTGACATTTTTTTTCATAATATAAATCAATTGTTTGATGTGATTCATGTCGCCATTGGTCAAGTTGTTGACGATATTGACCACGAAAATATTCTGATAATTTATTTATATCATTTGTTAATTGATATAATTGAGATAAATATATATCATTGTGATCTTTTAAATGTTCAACACAGTAATTATTTTTACAACAATAACATAATACTCTCGATGTACGTGGACATTCAGATATTGTACAAGGATGTTGAGACATTTTGAAAATTTTTTTTTATTTGATAGATAAAATAAAATATACAATATATTTGTTACCTTCTCACTTACTGTAAAAAATATGTAGTCTGCTGCTTGTTACTCTTCTTTTTTTTATGAAGATACTAAAATCATGCACGTCATATGAACTGTAAAAATATGACGTAGTTGTTTGTCAATTATACAACAAAATACAATCAAGATGTCATCGAAAAGTCTATCTATAATTATTCAACATAATACAAATTTTGTTATAATGAGTCACTAAAAAGTCTTGATTCTGCAAAAAAATCTTCATCACAAAAGATTGTTTCTTGGAAATTTTGTTCCTTTTTATTTTACGAAAAATATATGACAAACATATTGCATGATGGTATGAATAATATTTTTGACATATTGTACTTGTCATTTAAATGATCACTTCATATTTATGATAAAATCACTTGTTTATTTCCCACATTATATTTTCTTTTTTTCCGTTCGGCTTATTGATGAATCATTTTTGTTATACAACTCTCTTCATCATGCAAACGTATAAATGATGTTTGGTTGAAAAATGCTATGTCAACGGCTTATATTTACCACAGGTAGGAATGTTTTGTTATTTCTGATAAAAGTGCGTCTACGCATTATTATATTTGATTAATGACGATCTTATTTTGAAATGAGGAGAACTATAATGAGAGAGAAGTTTATTAAGATAGCCTAAGAAAAGGATTTTGAAATTATGATCTTTTAGATTATAATATCATAAGAGTATTTTGTTAATTTAATATCGAAAATATTTTTCTGGCCTTTTCTTTCAATAACTACTTCAATGACTTCGATTAATCTCACCATACTGACATCTATTTCGTTAGATATAAACTGTGTTAGGTTTTGAATTTATTTTATATGCCTTTTTTTTGAAAAAAGGTTTCTGTGAATATCATAGATGGCATATCATCTAAAATAGAACCTTCATGACAGTTATAAACGGTCAGTATGTTCTTTGCTCAAAGTACATCATTGAAATTGGGACAATATGCACTTGAGCGATTTGACTATTGACAATATCTGTTTTTCACTCACGAACATATATGATTGACAGGCCATTAATGATTTTCATTTTGATGAACTTCATATGGATGATCTCTTTGTCGGTAACGTTCGTTTTAGCGATGAGGTACAAAACTTTATAAACTGTGTTTCTTAATTTAAGTGTGCTGAAGATAGGCAAAATGTATAGAAAATGTGTTACTTTCAATATACACATTTTTTACATACTTTGCTACAACAAGTAGTATGTGCTATCTCTATTATTGTCGAATACAAGAATAGTTTATTTTCAAGACATTTAAATGAATTTTTAGGTAGAAAAGTAGTAAATATTACTGATTCCACACAGGACACTAGAAAAATATTTGTGTCCAATTCTTCTAAAAGCCATAATCTCAGTGCAAATATTATTTTATCATAATTACCCATTCTTAGAATTATATACAAAACTCCAGCGTTTTAGTTGATGTATATCTTTGTTTTTTTTTTATTTATTTTAAGAATTGTAACATATTGAAACTGTTATGTTACTATGTAATTTGAAAGAAACGAAAAAAATAAATCGATGCATAAGCCCTAAATCGCTGAAATTTTGCACACTATCCTAAACATATCTTAGCATTATAAAAGAATATCTATCCTTGAAGTATGAATTTTAGAACAGTCAAATGAAAAAACTTTT